CAGCCTCCCCCTCTCTGTGGTGACCTGTGATAGTGACAACAGCTATCCTGCACTAGCCAAAGGGCAGGTCCCTGGCTTCTTGTGGCTGGGCTCTCACAACACAGGGCCACAGCCAAAATATACATGCAGGGTCAGGGCAGCTGCACTGTGGACCCAGAACTGGAGAAGGGGGACCTATTTAGCAAACAGTAGCTGAGGCAGACCATTGTTCTTCCTTCTGCAGTCTGCCTCCTCCTCTGTATTATGGCTGCCATATCTGTCTTTGGGTTGTGCGAAAATGCTGGGCCTGCCTGCTCCTTCCCTGGTGGGGCAGTAGCAGCTGGCACCTGACTGCTCAAGGACCAGCTTGTGGGATTCCACGTAGACTCCAGCAGTGTTTCTACACAGTCTCCAGGCAGCTCTGTGTATTAGACTGGAGGCCTGAGCGGCCAAGAGGGCTTGGCTCCCTTCAGCAAGGATTGTAAAAGTTCACAGTGGAAATGTGGAGCCCCAGGGATCTCTCACTCACCCCTGCCTCACATTAGGGTGCTTCTTCCAGCTCCACACTTGACCTTGTTCAGCCAGCTGCCCAGCTTTGCTCTCCTCTGCTTTCCATGACTCCATTGCTTCTCTGATGAATTCCAGCCTGCCCTCTTAGATGATATGATTGAATTGTTCATTTTTACTTGCTACTTTGATTACTCTCTGTGAGAGAGGCATCCACTAGCTGCTTCTAATCAGCCAGCTTGAACCACAACCTCAGTGTTACTGTTTTATATCACTATTTTTATTTCATTTTAGATACTTTCCTCCACAAAGTTGTATTACAAGAATTGATGAGATTGGAAGCTAGTCCCGCTTGTCCCCCTGTTGGCAGTGGCTCTGAGTTCTGTCTTACATGCATTAAATTTGTGGAGGCTTACTGAATCAGAAGATATGTGCAGGTGTGTGCACATATGTGTATGTGTATAAATCAGAAAGCGTGTGTGACACTTTTTTTAATGATTCTGAGAGCCCTCCTCTACCCTATTTGTAAACTTTTCCAGAAGAGGTTACTATATACCTGCATATATCATATATCTTCCATCAATAACTTTTTGTTGTTTATTTGAGGCAGAGTCTTACTCTGTTGCCCAGGCTGGAGTGCAGTGGTGTGATCTCGGCCGGCCCACTGTAGCCTTTGCCCCCTGGGTTCAAGCGATTCTCCTGCCCCAGCCTCCCAAGTAGGTGGTCTTACAGGTACTCACCACCACACTTAGCTAATTTTTATATGTTTAGTGGAGACAGGGTTTCACTATATTGGCCAGACTAGTCTCAGACTCCTGAACTCAAGTGTTCCGCCCAGCTCAGCCTCCCAAAGTGCTGGGATTACAGGTGGGAGCCATCGAAGCCTTCACTGGTCAGCAAAACTTCCATAGACTATCCAGCCTTCTTCATGCCATAGCTTTATGATGTAAAATATTCATACGCTTTCATGTACAACAGATTTTCTCAACCGTGGCACTTCCAGCATTTGGGGTTGGGTAATTCTTTGTCGTGGGGCTGTCCTATGCACACAGCATGTTCAGCAGTATCCCTGGCCTCTCCCCATTAAATGCTCCTAGCACCCCTTACCTCAGTTATGATATCCAGAAATCTCTCTAGACATTGCCAGAAACTCTGAGGGGCAGAATTGTGTTGAGAACCACTGATGTGTGGGGATAATATCAAGAAACCTAGAAATAGTTTATTACAACAGATTCCTAAATCAATAAGTAGGTTAGCTTAAAGTTATAAAAAAATTTGTGAAGTTAAATTGAATTTAATATCATAGTTGTAGTGTATATTACCAAGCATGAGACTTAATTCTTCCTTTCAGTAGCTGTGATGATACCCGCATCATCTTTTCTGTCTCAGAGTCCTAGTTCAGGCCTTTATTCCTTCCTGGACTCCTGAAAAAGCTATGTCACCTTGAGCAAATTACTTAGTCTCAGTGTCTTAGTTTCTTCATCTATTAAGAAAAAGGGTGTTAGTCATAGTACCTCTATCTCAAAGGGTTTTTGTGGAGATTACATTAGATAATATATATAAAGCACTTAGAGAATTGCCTATGGTTATGTGCCTATCATTAGCAGTTGCAACATTATCCTCATTCCTAGCTTAATATCCCAATACCTTTCCTCTTAAAATATTTTTATAGTTAAACCAGAGTAATCTTTGTGATGGAGCCCACCTGAGTTTCCTTCCTTCTTAAAAAAATTCCCTCCTTAAAAACCTTCAAAGACTCTCCAGTGCTTATAAGTAAAATTATGCAGAGCATTCAAACACGTTTTGGTCCCAGCCCACCCTCCAGCTTTGTACCCTTTTCTGTTTTGCTTGCAAATAAAATAGTTCTTATCTTGAAGAAGTCATCTTGATCTCTGTGTCTCCAGAACGCTTAACAAGTGCTAGATGCCTATATTCGTTTAATTGTGCCTGTGTGTCACAGTCACTCTCTCAATCATTATCTGGCTACTGTTTAGGAAGTATTTAATTTATCTCCTTTAGTCAGAAAGCCCACAGAACGTACCACATCGTATAATAGCAAAAACACTACAGTGGAGATAAATTAGATTTAAATTTCCTCTCAGTAACCAGATATCTTATTTCCTTTGAGAACTGTTAAACCTGACCTGCTTTCTGGATTTAAAGGACATATTGTTTAAATGACGTATTAATTAAAAACATTTTGGTAAAATTCTTTCCTTCCCAGTCTGCTGGTTTATCATGGTCTTAATTTTAATGTTCCTTTTTTTCCCCTACACATGAATTTCTTGTACTTGAAGAAACTAGAATTTAGAATGGTGGCAAATCACATTATATTCAAGTAGAAGAGGAAGATGTTTTATACATTATGTCAGTTCCCTTGTGGAGTGTTTATATAATTCAATTCCTCTTTACTACTTTCTACTTTGTATAGTGATTTTACTTAAATTCTTTGAAATGTGCCTATTCCTGTGGTTGAAGGTGTTTGTCATCCCTTGTTTAACAAATAAAAGTAAGACAGAAATTGAGAGTCTAAAATTCCACAGGAAATGTGATCTGGGAACTGTGCTGTAAGGCCCTGCTACCCATTTGTGTGGTGATGTTTTTAGTATTACCATGTTGCTTTACAGCTTGCCATTATGCTTGCTACCATTTATGGTTTTGTGTGGCACACACTGGTAGATCGTTACATTTTATACTTCATTATTGTTGTGGGACAACATAAGACTCGTTATGTTTTCATTTTGAGAAGAAGGCTAATCAGTTTTTATAGTTAGATGCTGTAAATTAAGTAGTTTTATATGACTTGCTGCCTCAGAATAATAAGGATAGCATAAGTGCAAATAATCACTCTAACAAGTAACACTGATAATAACTAAGTTCTTGTGCATTCCGTGCCTTATGTCAAAACATAGATGATCTAATATCCTCACCAGACCACTGAATAAATACTTTTATTTATTATTATTTTTTGAGATGGAGTCTTGGTCTGTCACCCAGCTTGCAGGAGTGGTGTGATCTTGGCTTACTGCAGCCTGTCTCCTGGGTTTAAGCAATTCTCATGCCTCAGCCTCCTGAGTAGCTGGGACTACAGGCGCCCACTACCGCACCTGGCTAATTTTTGTATTTTTATTAGAGATGGGGTTTCACCATGTTGGGCAGGCTGGTCTCAAACTCCCAACCTCAAGTGATCCACCCATCTTGGCCTCCCAAAGTGTTGGGATTACAGACATGAGCCACCACGCCCGGCCTTAAAAACTATTATTATCCCTGTTTTCGTGTGAGAAGATTGAGGCTTATAGAAGTTACCAGAATGACCCAAAGTCACATGATTATTCTCTGTGGCTCCAGTAAACAGAAGCTATAGAAAATAAAATTTTAATAATTACAGTGGCCTGAAAGCAAAACTTTATAGTGAATATTTTTAGGGGGTATTTTTTCTTTGGTGGTGTTTGTATGTGCCTTATTTTTTTTCCTGCCCCATGTTTGAACATAAAAATGTTTAGGGACTCTGCGTTATGTGTGTTAATGTGAGCTTCTGTCTCCACAGTAGAAGTCAAAAGGGGGCAGATATTCTTCTTCCCGTCCTTTGGCAGTTTGTATTAGCACAAAGTATTCTCAACAGAATTCATTTGCCTGCTCCATGTTCAGTTTCCCAGGCCAGCGCATCTGTTTGCTGAGTATTAATCTAGCCACATCCAGGTCACCTTTCAATAAATTGTTTCTATGAGAATTGACTGGGATATAGATTAGGACTTTTTGTCTTATGGCTTCCTTCTCTTTTCTTCTCTGGCTTGAACTCCTACACTAGGCCTCTAATTTCCTCATACTTCCCCTCCTATTTTCTGTCTTTTTTTTTGCTGAAAACTTTGGGATTTTTTTTTTTTCTATTTTCTATTCCAGTTTAATTTTGATCCTTATTATCTACATGTTTCTTTCTTTTTAAAATAATGTTATGCTAAAAAAATAATAATGTTATACTATTGGAAGGCATACCTTAATTGATTATTTCTCAGACAATATTAATGATAGTTTAAAATTTTTTTTGTTCGCTACTGGTTTTCTTGTTCTTGCATTCTCTGTTTCTTCCACGTTGGTTTTTGTTTTTGTGGGTTTTTTTTTCTTTGTTCTGGTCTCTATTTTTTATTTGTTGCTTCCTTCAAATATCTGGTGATCATTGCTTATATGTTAATATGTTAAAGTATAGCATCGAATTGGAAACTGTTATAGCAAGATTTGTGGGCTGTGGTCTCCTTTTAGAAGTATATGGCTAGGTTACTATAAGAGTACCTGACAAGTAGTATTTATTCAGTAAACTAATGTATCGTTGATAATAATGAATCTCTTTTACTGTTTTCCAAAGTGACTGTATGCAGAGTGGAGTTGAATGTTTACCAGAGGACTTGCTTATGATTTGCAATAAATTATATTTTATCTAATTATATATATATATTTTATTTTGTCAGTTTTGACCAGAAGAGTTAATTTTGTTATCCTTTAATTATTCTTTGGCCTAGTTTTCAGATAACTATTATCGTGCAGAAATGATTGATGCCCTGGCCAACTCTGTTACGCCTGCAGTCAGTGTGAATAATGAAGTTAGAACTTTAGATAACTTAAATCCTGACGTGCGACTCATTCTTGAAGAAATCACCAGATTTTTGAATATGGAGAAACTTCTTCCAAGTTATAGACATACCATCACTGTCAGGTAATGATTAAATTCCTTACTTCAAAGTTATTTGTTCTTATTTCTAAATTTTTTCTCTCTCTAACTACATAATTTTTTAATTACTTGAGATTATATTGTATATGTAGTTTTTTTATTCTGTTTATATTATAAATACTTTCTCATGTCATAAATTCTTCGTAAGCATTGCTTTGATGTCTGCATATTCTTTTATTGCATATTGTATAAACACTCTCTATTGTTAGCCTTTTCCTAAGATTACTTTTCACTTTTTTTTTTTTTTGAGATGGAGTCTCTGTCACCAGGCTGGAGTGCAGTGGCACGATCTTGGCTTGCTGCACCCTCCACCTCCCAGTTTCAAACAATTCTCCAGCCTCAGCCTCCCGAGTAGCTGGGATTACAGGCGTGTGCCACCATGCCTGGCTAATTTTTTGTATTTTTATTAGAGATGGGGTTTTCACCATGTTGGCCAGGCTGTTCTTGACCTTCTGACCTCATGACCCGCCTGCCTCAGCCTCCCAAAATGCTGGGATAACAGGCATAAGCCACCACGTCTGACCTGACTTTTCACTTTTACCAGCTTTACATGGCTCTCAAAAAGTTCTGCCTGTTTAAGAGTTTGCTAAATGTTGATTCAAATATGAACAGTTTTAACTTTCTAAATAGCGAATAAACTATGTCACTAAAACATTTGGAAAAAATATTTATATTTTATGAAATGATTTCTTTAAAAACAAACTATTCTTGTTACAAGTATAATAACACTTGAAACTTTGAGTTTTGGAATTTGTTTTCTTTCTCTTTTTTTGAGACAGAGTTTCACTCTTGTTGCCCAGGCTGGAGTGCAGTGGTGTGATCTCACTGTACCCTCCGCCTCCCAGGTTCAAGCGATTCTCCTGCCTCAGCCTCCCAAGTAGCTCGGATTATAGGCATATGTCACCACGCATTGCCAATTTTTGTATTTTTAGTAGAGATGGGGTTTCACCGTGTTAGTCTGGCTGGTCTCAAACTCCTGACCTCAGGTGATTCACCCGCCTTGGCCTCCCAAAGTGCTGGGATTACAGGTGTGAGCCACCATGCCTGGCCAGAATTTGTTTTCTTTTAACAGAATTTAGATGTTAATTTTGAATTTTTATCATAATTGCAAAATATTATAGTTATATGTTACTTAACAGGGATATGTTCTGAGAAATGAGTTGTTAGGCAATTTTATTGTTTATGCAATAGCCTCCTATGCACCTAGTCTTTATGGTATAGCATATTGCTCTGTTGCTCTTAGGCTATAAAGCTGTACAGCATGTTACTCTACTGAATACTGTAGGTAATTGATAACACAATGGTAAGTACTTGGATATTTAAACACATTCAAACATGTGAAAGGTATGGTAAAAATATGATATAAAAGATAATAAATGGTAGCCCTGTATAGGACACTTACTATAACATAAATGGAGCTTACAGGCCTAGAAGTTGCTGTGGGTTTATCAGTGAGTGTGTAGTGAGTGATTGTGAAGGTGTAGAACATTATCATTCTCTATAGCAGATATAATAAATACTGTGGACTTAGACTACGCTAAATATGTTAAAAATATTTTTTCTTCAGTGATAAATTAATCTTAGTTTACTAGATGATCACCATTCTATATGCAGTTTATCATTGACTGAGATGTCTTTTATGTGGCACATGACTCTTACAGAATCGACGGTGGGTTAAAATCACCTTAGTTTTTAAATTTATTACCATAAAGGAATCTCTAATGCCTAGGAAACAAATTTAATTCATCATACTTCAGTGAAAGTAGTTAACATACGTGTTTATTTTTTTCCCTAGTTGTTTGAGAGCAATACGGGTACTTCAGAAGAACGGACATGTGCCAAGTGATCCAGCTCTCTTTAAATCTTATGCTGAATATGGCCACTTTGTGGACATTAGGATAGCGGCTTTGGAAGCAGTTGTTGATTATACTAAAGGTAATACTTTAGAAATACATGCTCAGATCATTTTAGAAAGAAATATTTCCTTTTTAAAGCCTGTCTTAGTTGGTGGGGCTTTCATTATATGTACAGTATAGATATTTTCATTTCAAATTCTTGACTCACTGATTTAGAAATCATCTTTGATAAATGTAGAATTCACATAAAAGTTAATAAATGAGGGAAAGGAATAAAATTATAGGTATCTTTGGCCTTTCCAAGAAGTCAGTGTTCATCCTGTAGCTTTAATTGGATGTTATTTTAGGAAATAGAAGCTTTTTGGAAAATGTCTAAGAAGGATTCAAGAAAATATCTCACACCTGTGTAAAAGTTTGTGTCTGTGAAAGTAGAGGACTAGACATAAACAAACGTCAGTAGGGCATTAGGCATGAATTTGGAAAAACATAAGGTCAAAGTATTGCTAAGAGAAGAATACATATATTTTTTTTAATTTAGAGGAGAAAGATGGAAGAGATGGAAATGTTAAAAAGTCACAAAGAATAGAGCAGGTAGAAGACAAGTAATAATCCAAGAAATAACAGAATACCCTGGGAGGGTATAGATGCAGCAGACCTACAGTCATTTCTCATGAAATGTTAATTTTTAAGGCTAAAGGAAAATGTGCGTTTCTAGGACTGTCAGAACCAAATTATTGTACAAGGTAAAAGAATAGTGTGGCCTCTGAATTCTTTAGAATATGAGACATGAAAAGACAGTGAACAAATGGCTATGTAATTTTTAGGGAAAATTATGACCCAAGTTTTTCTACCTTGCCAAAGTTGTTGCTCATGTAGCCTTAGAGAATTAGAATAGCAACTCTTATGTAACATTCTTAAAAACGTAACTCCCAAAGATAATTTTCAGCTGAACTGGATGTGAGTCAAAATAAAAACTCAAGACTGGTGAAAATGTGAAAGGAAAGAACTAGTGCTGAATAACTATGCCTGACAAATACTTAAGCTTAAATATTTGTTAAACTTGCTATAAAATTTAATGCATATCTCAAAAATAATTTTTAAAAAACAATATGCAAGTAGAGGGAACATGTAAATATGATCTAAGTCTAAAATTCCAGATTCTGGCACTAAAATATGAGAGGAGTAAAGAGCTTAAAGTTTACTAAACTTTTGTCTGACTGTGGAAGGAGAGGAAGGGGTAAGAGAAATTCTGTAGTAGATACTGGTTCATTTTCAAGTTGCGGAAAGTATACTCAAGTCTTCGTAATTTTTGGTAAATTTCTGTAGGAAAATTTGTTTACTGTCAGAAAATAAAGGAAGTGTATGTTCTTTTTTTTTGAGACGGAGTCTCGCTGTCACCCAGGAGGTTAAGCTGGAGTGCAGTGGTGTGATCTAGGCTCACTGCAACCTCCCCAACCTGGGTTCAAACGATTCTCCTGCCTCAGCCTCCCGAGTACCCAGGTGCACCACACGTAGCTAATTTTTATATTTTTAGTGGAGATGGGGTTTCACCATGTTGTCCAGGTTGCTCTCGATCTCTTGATCTCGTGGTCTGCCCATCTTGGCCCTGCAAAGTGCTGGAATTACAGGTGTGAACCACTGAGCCCAGCCTATAATGTGTATATTCTTAAATGTTGACCTAACTTTGGAAAGGACTGTCATTTGTGCTTCCTTTTTATTGAAGGTTAAAATATCCTTTCCTGTTAGAAATAACTATGAAAACAGTGATTTGGTTATTAAGTGAATTTTTTCGCATGAAAAAGAAATGTAATCCTATACCCATCTCTGTTTCTGTTTTGACAAGTTTTAAAATCCACCAAATATGCCACTGTTGCCAGTCTTCTTTCCCTAGATGTATGAATGGTGTTTAATGTCTCATAAATATGAGTTAGATGTTGTAAATTAGTAGATTAGTAAATTAGTAGTGTATTCTGAAATGAAATAGAATACTAGTAGGATTTCCAAAAGGATGCTAAACTTTAATACATATCATTTAATTGGGAAACATGAATCCATACTTTATTTTTGTTCATGTCTAAATGTAAAATGTAAACTATGACTTCAGACTTCATGTTTCATTAAATCGTAAATTTAAATATTGGTGCTCAAGTTAGAAAATGGAAGAAGTGAAAAGTATTGTGAGTAAAATTCTAAAGACAAAGTTTTTCAAATTACGAAGGCGAAACTTGTTTGAAAAGGTGAATGAAAATAGCTAATTAGTCATTTTATGTCAACTATATTCATAGCACTGTTTTTATAACTGCCTTTTATATTACGCTTGAAAAGTTAAGAACTTTCTTTAGTCTTAAATGGAAGAAACCACTTGGGCAAAAACAGTTGACTATACTATATAATATAGTTGAGATAGCATTGCATGCCAAACCTCTCTGTCATTTAGGCATTTAGAAAAACAATTGTATTTGAACAGATTTTGTTCAGTTAATCATCACTAATTTAGGGTTCTTAATTACAATTTGCTTTATGTTATGTTTGTCATTGGTTTGAGCTTCAGTAAAAAATATGTTCTTGATGCAACTTTATGTCTTGGCGCTAATATATAGCTTAATACTTAAAAAAGTTATAAAGTGGCCCACTGCATGAAAATGTAAGAGCTTGCCTCTAACCTTCAACTCTCATCGAAAATTCAGCTAAGGCAGAGTCCTGAATATTAAATGTAAACTCCCTGTTTGTCACTCGTTATTCATTAATTTGTTATAATTAACAACAAATACATTTTATTTTATTTTCAGTGGACAGAAGTTATGAAGAACTGCAATGGCTACTTAATATGATTCAGAATGACCCTGTACCCTATGTGAGGTTAGTTTATGTGCTATGATGGTATTATATTTTGTAAGTCCTATAATAATTGGATAATTTCAGATTACACATTAAATACCTGTTTAAAATTTTTGAAAATATGGGAATATCTTTTGCATTTATTCAAGTCCTTTTTAAATTTGATTTTCAAATTTAATCTGCCTTTGGAAAAACGTTTTCAAAATACATTGTTAATAAAGTGTATTTCTTGTAATTTTATATATGATTTCTATTGTGAGTTAAAGAAAGCCTGTATAACAGTTGATAACAAACATGAAGGATTCTTTATATATCCCAAATTATAAAACCTTTGGTATTGATTAATTTCACCATTTTAAAAGTAATTAAGAGCAGTGTTTTGGGATATACCCATTTATTCCTTTCTATCACATATGAAGTGTCCATTTTTATTAGACTTGACATTTTTTAAACAGGTAATATAACACTAAATTTTATGGGCTGGGTACTTTGGCTCTCATGCTTGTAATTGCAGCACTTTGGAGACCCAGGTGGGAGGATCACTTAAGGCCAGGAGTTTGAGACCACCATGGGCAACAAAGCAAGACCTTGTCTCTACAAAAAGTAGAAAAAAAAAATTAACTGGTCACAGTAGTGCATGCCTGGAGTCTCAGCTTGAGAGGCTGAGGTGGGAGAATTACTTGAACCCAGAAGTTCAAGGCTACAGTGATTTATGATTATGCCACTGCACATGGCACTCCAGCCTGGGCAACAGAGTAAGACTCCATCTTAAAAAAAGGTTTTTTTCAGCACTTTGGGAGCCTGAGGCAGGTAGATCACTTGAGGTCAGGAGTTTGAGAGCAGCCTGGCCAACATGGTGAAACCCCATCTCTACTAAAAGTACAAAAATTAAGTGTGGTGGCAGGTGCCTGTAATCTCAGCTACTCAGGAGGCTGAGGCAGGAGAATTGCTTGAACCCAGAAGGCAGAGATTGCAGTGAGGTGAGATTACGCCACTGTGCTCCAGCCTGGGCCACAGAGCGAGACTCCGGAGCTTCACCATGGTGGCCAGACTAGTCTAGAACTCCTGGCCTCAAGTTATCCACACCCTTGGGCCTCTCAAAGTGCTTGGATTACAAGTCTGAGCCACTGCACTTGGCCAAAAAAAACCAAAAAAAACAAAACAATTTATTAGCAGGCCTTACTTGGCATTTGGAGTAATTTGAGTGACTTGGAAAGCAGTCAGACAGGTTAAAAGCATAACAACTTAAAATGCTCTGAAGAACAAACTTACTCACATTTTAAAATATATTATTTACCTATAATACTTACTGGCTCTTACAAATAGAGTATGAGGCTTCAAGGATAGGAATTGTGTTTATATATAAGGATGAAAATATGGATATGAAGTATCCATGAAGATTTATATCCCTGTTTATATTACCTCTCTGTGAATTGCACTCTATAATTACATTTCACTTGTATTCTCATAACCCTCTGTAGTCTTATTTCACACAGTCTTAAATTTCAAAGCACAAGAAGATGTTAACAGAATCTACATCTTTTAGTTTTATAGACATTAAATTGTCACCTAAAGGGGTTAAATTATTTACCCCTACAATCTAGCAGTTTCACTTTTCCCCATCTCCTTCTCAATTACAAATCCAATTTGATGTCTTACTACCATCAATTAAATGTAAAAATTTTCTCAATTCACTTTCTTTAAAGTTTTGCTAACTTCCACAAGAATTACAACTCCATTTCTTTCTTCCTCACTTATATCCAAGCATTGCAGTTACTCTTAGTAATTTCTCAGACTTGGTCCTAGAGCTGGTTTTTATGCTTTCATTAAATGCTAGACTATTGCAGTAGGTTTCTTACTTTTTTCTTTTCTCTAGTCTTTTAATGGTGTCTTCCACTCATAGCAGTGGATGTTTTCTTTTCCAAATTTTGTTTTCATTTCATTGCCCTATTTTTCAGAAAACTTTATATGTTTAGGTAACCTCTCATATGAGATGAAAACTCCCAATAGTGGAGTTTAAATGTTACCCTTTATTAGGATACTCTTCTCAATCTCAGAGTGTTTTAAGGAAAACTTTTTATAATCTTTGTATTTAAAAATGCTTCTGCACATTTCCATACTTTACAAATATACTATCATAATGACATATGTTCATTTTATTATCTAAAATAGACATTTTTATCTATATGTAGATTCTTTTTGCCCCATGTTAAGATTTTTATACTTACTGACCAGTCTTTGTACATATATCTAAGCAGAGTGAAATGTTCATTTTAGAAAGTGGGATGGGAAAGATTAGTTAGGATTATGTGGAGTCAGGGTTTAGAAGACCTCATCACACAGTAAGGGGATTTTAGAAAGACAAAATCCACCAGATTTTTATTTTAATTACCCTTTTATCCAAATCACCAGAGTGTTTTAGTGATAAAACAATTAATATTTAGGATGTAACATTATGTCTTTTGAAATTAAATAAACACGAAGCTGGATTTAAGACAGAAAGTGATAAAATAGGAAGGAAGAACTACAGATAATTTTTAACTGTTTTATGGTGTCTCCTACTCATAGCATCTGTCAGTAAATGGTCAGCAAAAGTTTGATTTTGTTTTTAATCTTTCAGGCATAAGATTCTAAATATGTTGACTAAGAACCCACCATTTACTAAGAACATGGAGTCTCCCTTGTGCAATGAAGCCCTGGTTGATCAACTTTGGAAACTTATGAATTCTGGTGAGAGAGCAGTGGTTTAAATTTTATTATTATTATTAGAATATTTTCATTTTACAACAGGTTTCAATTCAATGGCATTTAAGAACTAAAGTTAAAAGTTGAGTTTTTTTTTTCTTTTAGGTAGACTATCACACCCTCACAGTGATGACTGTGGTAACCTCTATTAAGGATATACTCACTCACTTTACTCCATAGGGTGGTTGAGGAAACAGAAATTTTTTTTTATATGAAAGTGTCAAATGGTTAAGGTGCTATAAACATGAGCCTGCAAAGTATTATTATTATTTCAGAAAGTTACAGAGGTGAAAAATAAGTCTTCCCACCTCTTTCCCTGGCCATCTAGTGGCCTTTTCCAGAGGTAACCAATTTCTTGTGTCCCTTTCCAGAGGAGTCAGTGCATATAGAATAACATACAGACTGTATTTTTCAAAGTACTTATTGTTTTATACCGTGGAGATCATGATATCTCATTACAGTTTTTTTTATTTATTTTTATTTTTTTGAGAGAGAGTCTCTGTCGCCAGGCTGGAGTGCATTGGTGCAATCTCGGCTCATTGCAACCTCCACTTCCCAGGTTCAAGCAATTCTCCTGCCTCACCTTCCCAAGGACCTGTGATTACAGGCATTCACCACCATGCCTGGCTAATTTTTATATTTTTAGTAGAGACAGGGTTTCACCATGTTGGCCAGGCTGATCTCAAAATTCTGACCCCAGGTGATCCACCTGTCTTGGCCTCCCAAAGTGCTAGGATTGATTATAGGCATGAGCCACTGTGCCCGGTCTCATCACAGTTTTAATTTACATTACTTGAGTGAGGTCAAGAGGTAAGAAAACAGTGCTTAGGAGGGCTAGCTCTGGAACCATTTTGCTAAGAGTTGAATCTTAGCTCAGTTATTTACCTATTATGTGATTTGTCTAAGCTGTTTTTGTAAAATATAGGTAATAATACCTACTTTAAATAGAATTGAATGAGTTGACATTTGTAAAACGGTGTCTAGCTCATATTAAACACTCAAAAATGCTCTACTAGGATAATGATAGTTATCATTATGCTCCTCATATATTTGAGCTATCTGTATTTCTTTTTCCAAGTTATTCATATTCTTTGCTTTCTTTAATTGAATTATTGATTGTTTCCTGTTTATAAATGTGTACATTTAAAGAAAATTTGCCTTATGTCTGTGATAGGTTGAAACTGCAATAATGGTTTTGTTTTAACGATTCAATCAAAAGCTAGGCTGAAATGTGTTTTGCTTAAAGATAGCAAGAGTTGTTACAGATAGACAGTGGGAGAGCAGTAGTGCAATGACACAATCTTGGCTCACTACAACCTCCGTTCTGGCAATTCTCCTGCCTCAGCCTCCAGAGTAGCTGGGATTACAGGGGCCTACCACCATGTCCAGCTAATTTTTGTATTTTTAGTAGAGCTGGGTTTTCTCCATGTTGGCCAGGCTGGTCTTGAACTCCTGACCTCTGGTGATGTGCCACCTTGGACTCCCAAAATGTTGGGATTACAGGTATGAGCCACCATGGCCAGCCTATTCAAATACTTGAAAGGTTTGAGTATGTCACTTTATTTGCTCTCTATGATATTGGAAAATAACTTGTCCAGCTTATCTCATTAGTAGCTACTTCACTGACTCACAAATACCAAATTCTAATTCTTTTATTTTATTACTTAGCTCGCTAATATTGAGGTGTTAACTGGTTGTATAACTTCTGTTTTTCAGTTTCATGATAGTGCAATACCACCAAGTAAAGGCACCATAGTAGATATTTATGAAATATAATAAAATTGAGAATAGGATGGACTTTGTCCTCAAGGTCTTTAGAAAACAACACTTAAAACCAGTTTATGCTAAAATATTGCTAATTTTTTTCCTAATGTTTTCTTTAATCTCTGAAAGAATGATTGCTGCTTTTTACATAATGTTTTATATTTGCTACCTTTGGCTACCTTAAAAGATATTATTTCTGCTATTTAGAACCAGGGAATTAACACATAAGTTCATGAACTGGTAAAGGATCATTCAACAGTTCATATGTGGCACTAACTCTACTGTATCGAATATATTCTAAACTGGAATACATGATTCCTTGACCATGATAGGTTACAAATTTGAGGAAAGCACAGTGAAATATGAAGAATTCCTTTATTATTTTCTAAAGAAGATGTTTTAGACAAAATAAATGTGTGTTCAAAATTAATGAGACAGTTTTTGTAAAACATTTGAAGTCCATTGGAAGTTTTGATTATACAAATTGAAGCTGTGACTGATTTAGTAGTTAATTTTGATAGTGTGCAGTGTAGTATGGGTTTGCTTTGGTTTAAAATTCTTTGCCAATATCTAAATCAGTGAGATCAGTGAAGCTATAGTCATAAACAATTCATTACTCAGGTTTTCAGATTTATAAATAAATGGGAACAGCCTGAACAATGGAGTGGCATGAATAATTGGGAGGGTTAAAAAAAATGTTTTTGTAGAACATTGTACAATAGATAGGGAAGATGGACTAGAGAGAATTGTCATTTCCCTTCCAAACCTGAACCTTTGGGATCAATGAATGAATCTGGTCTGCGAAATCCTTTTTTGGTTTAATTTTTAAAAAAATTTAATGGTAAAAGTAATATAATCATGTTAGAGTTTATCTGAAAAAACTACAAGGAAAAGAAATATTACATATTTCTATTACATCATCACTATTAAGATTTGGGTATATTTGGCCTTTAGGAAAAAAAATTGTTTTATGTTACATAGTTATAGTTGAAATAAAAGTGTAAAATAGCATTTTATCATGAGAATTTTTCACATTGCTATATTATCTTCTTAATGGTTACCGTTTTAAGAACTGGTAATGAGGATTCATCATGCCAAAAGGAGCTACATCATCTACGTCCCGAAATCCGGTGGAACCCTGCCTGCTCCTCACTTTGGGGCTCCTGGGCTATCTAGTCACTTGAGATAAGCATTATCAGGAAAGCAAAAACTGGACAATGGAGGTGAAATTATATTCATTTATTTCTCTCTTTATACAAAGTGGATTTCAGGTATATTGACTTTGCATAGTCACAAAATTTACTGAACCAATTTAAAATATAGGAGAGAATATCATGGTAGTTCAAAAGGATCATCTTAAAATCATCAGGTACTTTTGAAGAATCAGAAACTTTTCAGTATGAGAAATTGTGTTTAGATTTATAGAAACAAGATTTTAAAAATTGAAATCAATTTGAGAGTGAAACAGAATGACTCATGACTTTTAAAAATTCATATGTTTTTCAGTTAATACTAGTACTCATTTTAGAAATATACTAGGGGAATTTGGAGCTGAGAGACAGTTACAGGAACTGAGAACTGCTGGTAGCTGCATCACTTTAGTGACCATGTGCCAGAGGGAAGGTTGTCAGACTTAAACTTGTTGAGATCTCAGAGCTGCCTAGTCTGCATGTTTCTTGGGGCGTAGTAACTCCACTTAGCCTTAAATTCTGGGAGGTACTCTAGTATCTTTCCAATTTTTTTTTGCTTTGTAAATATATACACACATTGACCTGTCTATGTGTATGTTCACTCATACACATATCAGATATCTTAACCCATTCTGTATGTAATTTTTCATATACATTTTTATCTTCAGCATTATGTTTTTAAAATTGTTAAAGCTTAAAAATGTAAAGAATAATGTAGTACATAATCACATACTTTCAGCTTGATTCATCAGTTAAAATTTTACCATTTACTTTACCTCCTTTTTCTTTATATTTATATCCTGTTTTTTTCTGAATCATTTGAAAATAAATGACAAGGATCTTTTACATGATATGAGCTTTGTCCATGGTTGCTTAAGATTCTTAAATAAATAGGTTTATTTTTTATTGAAAATATCTAATTTGCCAGGGCAGTCGTTTTTAAAGGTTTCACATATTCATTCACTGGTTTTTTTTCTAGAGCACTTTCCATTTGCCACTATGCTACGTTTTCTGTGTATTAACTAAGTATAATGGAAAGAGAGACATAGGTACAGATAAATTATAATATGAAGAATTATATTATTGCTAACTTAAAGAGAACAAACTCTTTGGGGAACCCAAAGAAAGGAGCTATGAACACTGTCTGGAATGCTTGAATGTTCGTGGAGAGGTAGCATTTGAACTAGCTCTTGATGAATGGAAAGAAGTTTTCCAGCAGGATAAATACATTTTTAGGCAGTAGAATTATATATAAAAACCTCATGTTCTGCACATCAGTTTAACTCTGTAAGTTGAATGCACACATTGACAAAAAAAAAAAAAAAAAAACACCTTATGTTCTGAAGGAATGTTTAGAAAATAGTATTATCTGGAAAGATAGATCAGGATCTAAATGCTAAAGGCCTCAGGATTTTGGGTTTTATGCTTTGGGCAATGAGGAACAGATGTTGATAGAACCAGGCTTACTTCGGTTAGCTGTGTGGGGGATAGCTTTTTTCCACACTGAAAAAAACAGATTTTCCTTTTCCAAAGGAATATGTATCAAAATTCAGAACATACTTTTATAGATTGAAGTAAGATACAGAATTATAGGCCAAAACAACAGTAATTTTAAAATACATTAAAAAAATAAAAACCTAAGAATTGGAGATTTTTATTCATGCTTCATAGATTATTTAAGACATAAATACTTTTGGTGGTTTTGCCTAATCGAGTGACTTTTTTATTTCTGAAGAAACAGATCTTCATTGAGGAGATGGTATCTTTGACTATATCATCATGAAGGAAGTTTTAGCTGTTGCTTCCACACTGACCTTTAATGTATGGAACATTATTATGAGAATGATACAGACATTAATTGTTCAAGTCATTGAATGCTGTTTATTCACATCACAATTTTTAGTGTTTGGAAATTTATAACTACACTCAAGGGGGTAGAATGAGGGACAACTTCTAATTCAGTTTGGTAGGATTTGCCAGGTTTCAGAAAAGAAAATAAACAGTTTTGGTATTAACATCAGAAGATTTCAAAGTTCTGCCCCACCGTCTCTCTCTCCTGATACCTTCCCTCTTAGGAATGGAAATGGTGGAGGAAAATTAAAACATATTGATTCATTTGCATATGAAATTATATATGTATATATATACATACATATAAATAGAAGTGAATTTGCTATTTTTCTTTATTGTAAAATGGGCAGAACAGTCAGGACAATTATACCCAGTGGAAACTATTTCTGGCTTAACTGTGTACAAATTTCTAGCTTCAGCCATCAATAAGGAGTGCTGGGTTTATTCAGAAGTGTCCTGGAAACAGTGGCTTTCAAAGTGAATTTTCTTCTTAGCAGCTTTTTTAGTTGATCAGTTTTAAGAGCAGGTACTTTACAAAATGAAGAGATGAATGTTCAGTGGATCAGATTTACTACTTTGGTGGTGTTTGTCTTAGGGCACTTTCTGCTTTGAAAAAGATCATTAATATTGGGGTGGTGGTATTCTGATTCAGATAAACAGGGTTAGTCCCAGAGTATAACTGCTAATGAAGACAGGATGAATAATGCCACTTTTCCTGGGAGGAGAGACTAGTGACTGTCATTTTGTCATATGTGTTCTCATTGCCATAAGTGATGGGGAGAGGGGAGATAGCTGGAAGATTAAAGAAGGGTCTTCAAAATACTGTAACTGAAGGCAGAAATCAGAGGCTGTTTCAGGCCCTCTCTTTCTGATGGAACTGATTGACTTGGAATCATCGAATTTTAGACCTTGTGAGGGGAATCTTTAAAGATCATCTCAGTGAATTACTCTGATCATCTTAGTTATAGCCCAGACAGCTGACTTGCCCAAGGTCACAGATCTAACAGGCAATTAATTAGAAGTGTTTTTTCTCCCATTCTGTCTCTCAGCTTAATTGAAATATACTAACGGGACAACTGTCTTAAGATTTCATTCCATAATTTTGAAATACAATGCAATTTTGGCTTTTATCTCTATTTCTTGCTCTCTTTTTGTAATTTTAACAAAAGTACTGCTATTCGTTTTTTAGCTCCCTCTGTAGTCCTCAATTTTAATATGTAGGTTCATTTTTAGAGGACAGAAAACACTTATATCAAGAATCTCCCTCAGGAGCAAAACAGTGATGTTCATATCTTTGTCCAAATTAAAGGTCTAGCAAAATCAAAAAGCCCACATAGAAATAAAAAGCAACTTAAATTACATTTGAGGGCATCAAGTGCACTTAGCAGCCTTTGCTGTGTTGCCTATCATCCTTGAACTGACTTTCAAAAACAAAATCAAAGCCGTGGCTCATCAAAATACACATACTCAATTTGTCTTTTTAAATTAATATTTATATTTTTTAAATGTTAAGGAATTCACAGTTGAATGACTCATTTTGAGATCATCTACAGCATATAAAAGTTCAGGCTGGTATTTGCAGGCAGTATTGATCTTCATGGTTTAGTTTTCTCCCAAACAGTAAATGTACTGTAAACTGTTCTGTTTTTGTTGTTGTTGTTTTAACTGATAAAATGCCTGAGATTCACTCCTTCTCCTGCTGTACCCATGGATAGATAGATACAGGGCCAGCTGCTCTGGGTGGCCAGACTCTTTATTGCTCAGGAGTTGAGACCCTCTAGCCTTTGCTAATAGAAGCCCCAGGAATCTGATAACCTCCTCTTTGTGGAACTTTTATATATGTAAAATGCTTTGAGGAAGAGAAATGAATGCCTACAAAATAATGCTACCTCAAGCTATTGAAGTGTCCACATATGCATATCCAGGAAGGGAAGATGCATTTCCAGTGTAAAATTCTTGCTTTTACTATGTAATGTTTTTTCCATTACTTGTTTCTTTGTCGCTCTTGCCTCTCTCCCAGTGTTGTATGTTACACAGCAACAAAATTGAAAATGTCTCAAGTAGGAATGATGAGAGCTATTTCACAGTATAGCATGCCAAGTGGCCTAGTACAGTGCACTCTCTAGTATGAAGGTGAATTTACAATTTTTCCCATTGCAGATTTACATATAATAGTTACCTGTTAGAGTATATCTGATGAGAATTACTGTTAGTTGATAATGTATTTACTAATACTAATATTTGTTGTCGAAAACCACAAAGTTTAATATTTATGATATCCAAATTTTTTTCCTTTTTGTTTCTCCTTTTTAAATATGGTACTCTTTTAAAAAAAACTACAGTTCTTGATAAAAATTCGGTATTTATGGGGCCTTCTTTCCTTCCTCCCTCCCGCCCTTTGTTTGTTTATTTTTTGAGATAGAGTCTCACTCTGTTGCCCAGGTTCTAGTGCAGTGGCGCATTCTTGGCTCACTGCAGCCTCCGCTCCCTAGATTCAAGCGATTCTCCTACCTCAGCCACCCAAGTAGCTGGGATTACAGTCTTATGTCACCACATCCAGCCAATTTTTGTTTTTTTGGTAGAGACAGGGCTTCGCCATGTTGCCCAGGTTGGTCTTGAACTTCAGAGCTCAAGCGATCTGCCCACCTAGGCATCCCACAATGCTGGGATTATAGGCATGAGCCACTGTGCCCGGCTGGGTTTATTTTTCTTATCAAGAAGAATGCCTGTATTTCTTCTGTTCACTTGTTTTATATCGTCAAGTCATTTAAAATTCTGATCATAGAGATTGTGTAACCCTAGCTTACAAATTTCATCTTTTCAGTCAATTTTATTTGATGACAATGTCTAGGGGAGTGCTCTACTGGGGAGAAAAGGAAGGGGATAAAGAACCCTGATATCAGTGTGCTCTGATCTGTCATTGCAATGGGGTAAGGTATGACTTGAGACAAAAACTCCTATTTCGGAGATGAAAAAACTGAGACTCAGAGAAATGGAGAGTACTTGCTTCTACTGTCTCAACTAGTTGAAACTGAACTTTCTCCCAGGCAGTTATTTTCTGGTCCAGTCCACATCTGCTGCCCATTGCCATGCTTGTAATTTGCTTATTTCCGTTATTTAAAAATCATAAATAAGTTCTTACTAGAGTAACACAAATGTAAAGGTGCTTAGCAAAATATTTTCCTCCTTTACAGTAAGTCCAATAGAAGTTGTATGGTTTCTTATTATATTTCAAACCTGAAAGTAGTAAGTTCTAGAGATCAGAAAATTTATTTCCATGATAGTGTATGCAAAGGCTTATGGAGGCTGTCTTCCTAACAGACTGTTAATGAAGAGAATCAGACAAGGTGAAGAGAGAATGCATGAATGTGGAATAATTACTGAGGAGAAAGAATAAAAAGGAAGATTTAAGGTTTAAAAAAATACAGTTTTTGGAATGTAAGATTTTTGTTACTGTCTGGTATTCACTTTGTAAGATGAAAGGTGTCATAAAGGTTTTTCCAGTTATAAAGTTCTCTTTGTTGCACAGGTTCTGGGACAGTTAAAATGTATGAATCAATGTGCATATTGACTTGTTTCTGTATTGTTTACTTTAAGGTACTTCACATGACTGGAGGTTACGGTGTGGTGCTGTGGACTTGTACTTCACACTCTTTGGCCTCAGTAGACCTTCCTGTTTACCCTTGCCAGAGCTTGGATTGGTTCTTAATCTAAAGGAAAAAAAAGCCGTCTTGAATCCTACCATAATTCCAGAGGCAGTAGCAGGCAACCAGGAAGCTGCAAATAATCCGAGCAGTCACCCACAGCTAGTTGGATTTCAGAACCCTGTAAGAATCACGTGTATTACAGAAAATATAGTTTCATTAATACAGAGCCATCTAGAGAAGAGAATTGTTTCATGTGAACTAGTGAATTTTATAGCCAGTAGCAGTTTTCTTTTGTCCTCTTAAAACATGCTAGGTGACATTTGTTTAGCACTATGCAAATTATAAAATGCTACTGACAGCTATATAATTGCACATACAAGTGATGTCCTCCTGATTTTTTTATTCCTACTGTGATAACCTAATGTTTTTTGTACTTGAGTATAGAATTTCTTCTCTGAGTAACAAAAGATACAAATGAATATTTTATCTTTCGTTTGTTTTTCTTGAGACAGAGTTCCACTCGCCCACGCTGGAGTGCAATGGCGCAATCTCAGCTCACTGCAACTTCTGCCTCCCGGGTTCAAGCGATTCTCTTGCCTCAGCCTCCTGAGTAGCTGGGATTACAGGTGTCTGCCACCACGCCTGGCTAATTTTTTTTTCTTTTCTTTTTTGTTTTTTCGAGACAGAGTCTCACTCTATCACCAGGCCTGGAGTGCAGTGGCATGACCTTGGCTCACTGCAACCTCCACCTCCCGGGTTTAAGCAATTCTGCCTCAGCCTCCTGAGTAGCTGGGACTACAGGTGCGCGCCACCATGCCCAGCTAATTTTTTGTATTTTTGGTAGAGATGGGGTTTCACCATGTTGGCCAGGCTGGTCTCAAACACCTGACCTCAGGTGATCCACACACCTCAACCTCCCAAAGTGTTAGGATTAAAGGCATGAGCCACCATGCCCAGCTGAATATTTAACCTATTACATAGTAACCCATCTTGTCCCATATATGTTAATGGCAAGCCATGTGAACACAGAGGCCTTGTCTTTTGAAAATTGTCACTCTGTGTAATACCTACCACAGTTCTAAACATATGATAAATGCCTGATAAATGCTTGTTGAATGGAATAAATAACCGAATGGATGAATGATCAGGTAAATGAATAATCTGCTGATTTGGGAGGAGACTATGTGTTGCATTTAAAAACGTTATATATCTACATATATGTTTGCTTGCCTTTAGAGAAGCTTTTATTTCTACCTTTGTATTGTAAAATTACCAGACATTTTGTAGAAAGACTTATGGGAAACATGTTAATCATTATTTTACGGTAATTTAAGGAAATTTTTCCTGAATTTCTTTTTTATTGATAACAAAATGTCTCCAGTACTTCAGGCTTCATTTTTCACCAATATTTAGACCAGATTACTTGCCTGGCAATTCCCTACTGGTGTTTTGACACTTTAAAATGCAGATTCTCTCTATGCTAGTTAGTAATAGTTCATTTAAAAATGTTTACTCACCTAAATTTTCTGAAGTATCATCATACTTATTTGTTGTCAATTTAAAGTATGTCCTCAGGTTTGGGTTATGAAGAAATAAGACGAATACTTAAATAGAATAAAAAGAGTCTCATTAAAGAGATCTTTCAGATCTACATATTTATAAATCTGTGAAAATGAATATATTTATAATTCTTGCTCACATATGTTAATTTATCCACATTCACACTGCAGACTAAGAGGAGAAAATGGCACCAGAGGACATTTTCTTTTAAAGCTCCAAAAGTTCACTTAAAAAGTGAACTCCCTTCTCCCCGCAAAAAGACCAGCAGACAAGAAAAGGTTAAATTTCTTGTAAGCCCATTGCTAATAATTTCTAGCCACTGGGCCTGCTCTAATCTGCATGGTTGCTACAGCTATTAGTTTTCAGCTATAATATGAGCTACTCGTCTTCAGAAATCTAATTTTGATCTTGAATATTGCCGCAGGAAGATGATCACCTTGCCAAGGAAGCATCATGTAATATATCAGCTCATCAGCAGGGAGTGAAGAGGAAGTCTGATACACCACTGGGGTCCCCACTAGAACCTGGTCAAATACTGGAGAAGAATGAGGATAGCAGTAAAGTCAAACTCAAAATCAGAGTAAGAAATACAGGTTAAACCTGTATTAACAGTGTAGGATATTCACCTTCTTGTAAATCTTTTGAATACTTGCAGTGGTTTTTCCTTAGCAGGAACACATGGAACAGACTGCATTATAAAACTCAAATGTCCTTCTGAGACATTCAAACCAATTATTTAACTTATATTATCACATAATTCTTCTCTATTTGGGGGAGGAACTATGTGTGTACGTTCCACTGCAACTCACTACTTTTTCCCCGCAAAATAGAAGTAGATTTTAGTTACTATTACATTTCCAGTAATTTCTAATCAGCTTCTTTTGGAGGCTGGACCACATAATCTTTTCTTTCTCTTAGTATCTTTGAAGAAAGAAACTACTTTTATTTTAAGATTATATGGGGGTACATCCTATGGCCTCTCTGCTGCTTTTCCTAAGAGCTAAGATCCAAACATAACATGATATAATGGTTCTTTTATTCCTCTGTTTTATGTGTATGTGTGTTTTAGTTTTCAAATTCTCAAGATGAGGAGGAGATTGATATGGATACCGTTCATGACAGCCAGGCCTTCATTTCCCATCATTTGAACATGCTTGAAAGGCCGTCAACTCCAGGTAAGATTAGTATTCTGCAACGATTGAGGAGATGGAGGCATTTACTGTTCCCAGTATTCTAATGTATGCTGCTTTATTTTCAAATGAACAACTATAAAGTTTAAAATTAGCCAGTTTAAAATATTATATCAGGTTATAACATAAATTGGCAAAATAATAAATAGAAAAAATACTTTCTTTTGGTTGTTTTATTTTGGTCCTTTTTAAATACCATACTTCTGAATTTGCTTATGTAAAATCCATCATTCAGATTCTTTCTAGTAGCTCCAATTTCTTTTTTGATCCTGTATGTTTACTTGCACTTGTATTTTAAATGTGGTAGACTTGACTTCAGAATAAAATTCTGGATTTGGTGTCTTTTTAATCATTCAACCGTAGTTACATTAATCTTTTTAATTCCAGTTAATGCTGCCTGTAGCACCACTTATCTTTCTGCCTGCCTATTCCATATAATATTGTCATGGGCTTTTTCATAGGTCATTCAAAGCACATCATGTTTTCTTTTGAAAATACTACCTAAGACAACATAGAGTCAATATATTAAAATTTACCTTGTCATTTTCTTGTTGATAGGCGTTAGGTTCTTTTTCATTTTTATATATTGTAAGTAATTCTGTACTTTATTTCTTTGTTAAATTATGTTTCTTGGATAAATTTCCCAAAATGTATTATTGGTAAAAAGATTAATGTTAGCTATGTCGTGAGATACTTGTCTTTAGATTTTCATAGCTCTTAATACATATTGCCATGTTTTTTGAAGAGATTATACCCATTTATATTACAAGCTTTTTCTAATTTTTAAGGAATAAAGCCTTTGATGAAAGTTATGACATATAGTAATAAAACAAATATCCATGAACCTGCCACCCAAATTCACATGTACAATATACATCATGCACGGATGTTTCCTATATGCTTCTTCCCTGGTCCTGTTCTCCTGCCTTTCCACTACAAGTAACTACTATATTGCATTTCCTTTTTTTTTTCCCCTTAGTTTCATTCTGTTGCTTTTCTTTATAGTGCTCCACGTAGGTATGTGATCCTATATGTTTAGTTGTACTTTTTTTTTGAAGCTTTTAAGAACTGGTATAACATGACTTGCTTTTTTTCACTCAGCATTATGTTTCTAAAATTCTTACTGATATATAAGTTGTAATTCATTAATTTTCATTTATGATCATCTGTCATAGCACGTCATCAGTGTAATAGTTCAGAACTTTCAGAGTAACTGTAAAATATCTCAGTTTACTGTTTTTTTGTTTTTATTTTTGTTTTTCAAGATAAAGTCTTGCTCTGTCACCCAGGCTGGAGTACAGTGAACTGCAGCCTTTGCCTCTGAGGTTCAAGCGGTTCTCCTGCCTCAGCCTCCTGAGGAGCTGGGACTACAGGCGTATGCCACCACATCCAGCTTATTTTTAGTAGAAACGAGGTTTCACCATGTTGGCCAGGCTGGTCTCGAGCTCCTGACCTCAAGTGATTTGCCTGCCTCAGTCTACCAAAGTGATTTGCCTGCCTCGGCCTCCCAAAGTGCAGGAATTAATAGGTGTGAGCCACCGAACCTGGCTAGTTTTACTTTTTAATGCATTTCTTCTGTTATAGGTATGACTGTCTTTTTTTTATGGGTAATGTTTCTGTTTTTTTTAATTTGAAAATCCTTTTCATCGCCCTTGGTGGCTGTATTTTAGGGTTTTACATTTGAATGAGATGTTTTTCTCTTTTGTTTTTAACATGTTACATTTGCGCTAAAGACCTTATTACTCCTGTTGCTTCGATATAGAGTTTCACATAAATAATAAAAAATATGAAATGGTTCTTGCCCCAGAATACAGGGTTTCATTTATATGTTCAGCAAGTCATTCAAGCTTATTGTCTCTGTTGAATGTTTAATCTACTCAGACTTAAGTTTATAGGAACCATGATGAAGCATTAAATTAAATGAGATTTTTAATAATTTTAAAATAGCTTTTTTTTTTCTTCTAAAGTCACAGAGTCTCACTGTGTGGCCCAGGCTAGATTGCAGTGGCATGAACATAGCTCACTGCAGCCACGAACTCTTGGGCTCAGGAGATCCTCCCACCTCAGCCTCCTAATTAGCTAGGACCACAGGTACATGCCACCATACCTAGCTGATTTTATTTTATTTTTATTTTTATTGATTGATTAATTGTAGTAGAGATGTGGTTTCAGTATGATGGCTAGGCTGTTCTTGAACTCCTGGCCTCAAGTGATCCTCCCTCCTCCTCCTCCTTTTCCCAAAGCATTGAGATTAAAGGCTTGAGCCACTGTACCCAGCTAGTATTCTTTCTATTGTTAGAATTTTACTGTGGATAAACTGCTTCTGTCTTTAAGACTGGGTTATAAAAACCTGTCAGCCTTTCTTTTCTTTTGAGAAACAAATAAATCCCTCTGTTTTCTTGTTTGGCATTTTCATTTTAGGGCTCTCAAAGTATCGGCCAGCTAGCTCCCGATCTGCTTTAATACCCCAGCACTCAGCAGGCTGTGACAGCACACCCACCACAAAACCCCAGTGGAGTTTGGAACTTGCACGAAAGGGAACAGGTAAAATTAATTCAGAATTAATATTATATTGCTCAAGAACAAATCTATAAATGTAATAGAGTTACTTCATCAACTTTAAAAAATCCTTTAAAAATACAGATCTTAGGACTTGGCTTTTCTCGCAATACATTGAGTTTCTGTTATCTAACTTTAAAGACAATTTTAAAATAGACTTTTATTTTTCAAAAGTAATGAACTCCTATTATAGAAAACTGGGAAGTAACAGAAAAATAGGTGAGAAAAAAAGTTATCCCCATATGCTATTTAAAGATAATTTAAAAGATAATGCCATTTAATTATAATGAACATTTTGCTCTTTGCCATGCTTTTTCTTTTCTTTGAGACAGAATTTAGCTCTTGTTACCCAGACTGGAGTGCAATGGCGCGATCTCGGCTCACCGCAACCTCTGCCTCCTGGGTTCAGGCAATTCTTCTGCCTCAGCCTCCTGAGTAGCTGGGATTACAGACACGCGCCACCATGCCCAGCTAATTTGTATTTTTTTAGTAGAGACGGGGTTTCACCATGTTGACCAGGATGGTCTCGATCTCTTGACCTCGTGATCCACCCGCCTCAGCCTCCCAAAGTGCTGGGATTACAGGCTTGAGCCACCGTGCCCGGCCTGCCATGCTTTTTCTAAGAATATTATGACAAATGCCAACTTCAGTAGAAACCATCTAATTTGTACCTTTATAAAAAAGATATAAAGACATAAAATAAAAAATCAACCACTTATCCTACCCCCATGTATATAATTGGTAATTCATTCATGAAGACTTGAAGCTATATTCTTTTATATTATTTCACAGTGATTGGGCTTACAAGTATGAAAAGTGATTTCATTCAGATGTGCTTGTTACCCGTTCTACTGTTTCACATTGTTTTCTGCTTGTTCTGTTTCATCACTTAAAAAGAGAAGATTATAATCCAAATGAAATGGAAACATTTGATGATGATGAACTACCATGAAACAAAGATTTAGTCCTCAAATGCTGAAGGAACAGGGAGTGAAAAACAGGATACATAAACAAAATCATTTTTAAAGAATAGTTTTTCCAGAAGTAGACAGACTTTAAAATCTGTTAACTTTTGATTATATTCCAGCTGATGGATTTTGATTATATAAAAGATGTTTTTATCTGATATTTTAAAGAGTGCTGTGTATTGCTTTGAGGAGCTTACAGATCAACTATTATTAATAGGGGGCTTCAAACAAAAGTAGCACCTTAACCTGTTTTGATGTTGAGACCTCAGATTGTTGATTGCTTATTGTTCTTTGTGTGTTCTCTGCATTTATTGGAATAGATTCACCCAAAATATATTTCAGAAGGAAATTAGCTGGGGACTTTAGCATTTACTTTGATGAGTGAGTTTTGATAATTCTTGGCCCTTGCTGATTTTTTATATTCTCTTTTGTTTTTGGTTTTGGTATAATTTTGCTTTATTATCATTATGCTTATTGAAATTTTACTAAATGTAAAGAATTTTCTACATTTTAAAAAATTATAAAGCTTAGAGAATTTTAAACTCCTGTATGTAGTTTGAGGATGATGCTTCTGCTTGCCTTTAAAAGAAAATTCTGTCTGAATATCTAAGAGTCTAATCAATTTCCGTTTCAAAAAGAGTCAGAATACGTTTGGTTTTTCTTAGCAGTGTGGCACATTAACCTATATAGAAGCAAATCATAACACTTTTTTGTGCCCAAAAAAGTGGGCCCACCAGTGTGCCTTTTTGTCATTGTTGCTTTTTCCAGTCTTTCTTTATAGGCTTTTAGTTCTAATGGCATCATATGGGAAAACTGGGGAGAAAGAAACAGTGCGAATGGTGGGGAATAGGAATGCATTCACATTTTATTTTTGGCTGGTATCAGTATAGGGTCCTTTCGTGGCATGAGGCAAAAATATATACCAGTTAGGTGGACTGATGTAGTAATCTTAACTTTGAATATATATTCTTTAATGTGACTGTACTCTCCCTTAAATGTGTTTTTACTGTTCAATACTCTGAGACCACTGAGCAAGTCTTAAAGTTCAACAGTGATATTATAAGAATGTAGAAAACCTTTATTTTACAAATAATAATGTTTTGAAGGTTTATTTATAAATATATTTATTTTGGAATTTTGAATCCAGTTTTTCTATACTTTTTTCTTTCTTTCTTTTGCCTTTTTTTTTTTTTTTGAGACAGTCTTGCTCTGTTGCCCAGGCCAGAGTCCAGTGGCACAATCTCAGTTCACCACAACTTCCACCTCCTGAGTTCAAGTGATTCTCGTGCCTCAGCCTCCTGAGTAGCTGGGATTACAGGAGTGCATCACCACACCCAGCTGCTAATTTTTGTACTTTTTTTTTTTTTTTTAGTAGAGACAGGATTTCACCACGTTGACCAGGCTTATTTCATCCTGGCCTCAAGTGATCACCAGCCTCAACCTCCCAAAGTGCTAGGATCACAGGCGTGAGCCACCCAGCCTGGCCACATTGTTGTATTTGTTAAGTAACTTTCCCAAACTGGTCCAACAAAAGCCTTGAAACTCCTACCATACATCAAGAATAGAAATATTAAGCCTAGCCATTGTGTGTATCAATGTTTCTGTGAGAAGTGGCACTCGGAGCTCCAGGTTTTGGGATGTGGGAAGCACAACTTTAGCCTAACCCAAATCAGGTCAAATAGGCAGCGAAAAAGGAATTTCTTCTCTCCTGTCTCCTAGCAGGAGCTGAAGATCTCTTATTGTGACAGCCACCTTTCTTGGGATGAGAGTTCTGAATTTAGGAGGGAGACAGCACTGGTGAGGGAAGCTGTGACCTCTCTTCAGTCTCTAGGATTCTATATTAAAGGTCCCAAATGAGGTTTTTTGGCCCATATTCAGTTCATCAAGCTGAGGAATCTTCCTATAAGTCTCACAAAAGTTTTTGAACTAGATAACTAAACTGAAGAGATTACACATAAAAATCTAGATTTCCTTTTACTCTGATGGAGACATTCAGGAAACAAAAAAAATTCTAGATTTCTAAGCTTTTCTTGAAAAGAGTTGAGAGGCCCTTTTGGTAAGGGGTGTGATCACTTATGCACCCGGTAGTCTCTTTACCTATGCTGTTCCTCAGGCCAAGGCTTTTGAGTTTCTGGCCTCTGCTTTATATTTTATTTTATATTTTATTCTATTCTGTTCTATTCTATTGTATTCTATTCTACTATTCTATTTTATTTAATTAGCTGAAATGGAGTTCTGGATGGCTCCCTGGCTCTCAAGATGATCACTGAGAACTGGAATGTGTTACAGACCTTGTCTAGGAGGGATAGAAAAAGAATGTGGGTTTAAAGAAGAGACAGAAACTGGAAACTGTTAAGTAGAAGACAGGTTATGGTTTACTTTTTAACCTTGCTTTCCTAGTTTTCCCTTTCCTTGCATATGATAGTAGAATATTTTAGGGTGGGATCATAGGTGGGTGGTAGATTAAGCCATTGGGAAGAGAAGGGAGAAATGGCAAGAGTATTTTCCTTCATTACTTTACTATTTATTTTCCTTTTTCTGAGGTAAGGAAGGGAATATAGAGAAATGGCTGTTACGGTTCCCATGGTGATATGGACGAACATACCATATTCTTTCCCTTCTCACCATAGCAGCTCCCTGTCTGTTACTGCAGAGGCCTGAGGTGACTGGACTGTCTCCCAGCTTGCCGTAGGGATTGCAGTGCTGGAGAGGAGAGGCCAGGGAAGGGGAACAAGGAGAAGGGAATTCCCTGGTGGTTTTTGTGGGAAAGAAGCAGAGAGTTTCTGCAGCTGCCTAGCTGTGGCTGCAGTATTATGTAATGCCTTCTTGCATAAGTCAGAAAAACACAATTCTGGTAATTTTTTAATTTAAAAAAATTTTTCTTTTAAAGCTTGAGAGCTTGCCCTAGAGGTTTTTCTTTTGAAACCAACATGAAAAGCAGACTTTGATTTTTTATCCTTAAATTATAATGATATAATTCTACATTTTAAAAAATAACCTAAACAATATGAAGAACAGAACTTACACCTTTCCTAATAGAAACTGCAGTTTTTGGCCAGATGTGGTGGCTCATGCCTGTAATCCCAGCACTTTGGGAGGCCAAGGTGGGTGGATCACCTGAGGTCGGGCATTCAAGACCAGCCTGACCAACATGGTGAAACCTTGTCTCTAGTAAAAATGTAAAATTAGCTGGGTGTGGTGGTGCATGAGGCTGAGGCAGGAGAATCGCTTGAACCTGGGAGGCAGAGGTTGCAGTGAGCTGAGATCGGGCCATAGCACTCCAGCCTGGGCAACAAAACAAGAGTGAAACTCTGCCTCAGAGTGGGGAAAAAAAAAAAGAAACTGCAGGTTTTATGTTAAATTTAAACATATACCTAAGGTGAATTCACAGATTATTCACTGTGTCTTTCTGTACTTTGATCAGATGGGCTGAAAAGCTTCCACATTAGACTTAATATATTATGTACCTCTTTCTGTTTGTTTTACACTTGTTAAGTTGACTGCGGCTAACCCTTATTCATGGTGCATTTTATTTGGTCTCCAGGAAAGATTTTACATTGAATAGAATACAACTCAGAACATCTCTTTCGTTCTTTCCATATAACATGAAATAGGAAAATTTTAGTATTGTGAATTATATGTATCTCCTTTCTCTGATGGATTTGCTGTTTAGAACAGTAACATGTGGCTGGGTATGGTGGCTCACACCTGTAATCCCAGCACTTTGGGAGGCCAAGGCGGGCAGATCACCTGAGCTTGGGAGTTCAAGACCAGCCTGACCAACACAGAGAAACACCATCTCTACTAAAAATACAAAATTAGCCGGACATGGTGGTGCATGTAATCCCAGCTACTCGAGAGGCTGAGGCAGGAGAATTGCTTGAGCCTGAGAGGCGGAGGTTGCAGTGAGCCAAGATTGCACCATTGCACTCCAGCCTGGGCAACAAGAGCAAAACTCGGTCTCAAAAAAAAAGTAACAGTGACATGTATTTCAGGTTACTAAAAGGACTTTTATTAGCTTAAAGATGAGTGGTGCCTGGGAATGGACAAGATCCCAGGCATCTTGTACACCCCTGAAAGGATATGTGAAATGATGTGTGTAATTGTTTGTATCAAGGGATGATAATATATTGTCTTGGTAGAGTTCTGTAGATGACCTCATTATGCTGCTATGAAAGTAAACTTGTGTGTGTCCTATATCTAATTATAAGGAAATGACACTGTCTTAGATTAGATCTGGTAAATGTTATTTAGTAAAGATAGATAATAAGCAAAACATACATATGTACATATTTAGAGAGAAAAAGAACATACAAACATGTTCTCTCTATATAGAGAGAATAAATAAGACGTATATACTTATACTATATACAATTATAATATGTACTATAAATGAAAACGTAAGACCTGAAGGTTGTTAGTGATGATAAGGTAACAGTTCATTGGTTCTCCTGTTACTGCCAATTAATGTATTTGTATATGTGTCTTCACACATATGCATGAGCATATTAATGGGATTAAATTTCTAGAAAACTTTCTAAAGGAATATACGCATGTAACACTTTCTTTTTTTTTTTTTTTTTGAGACTGAGTCTCGCTCTGTCACCAGACTGGGATGCAGTGGTGCCATCTCGGCTTGCTGCAACCTCCACCTCCCTAGTTCAAGCGATTCTCCTGCCTCAGCCTCCCAAGTAACTGGGACTACAGGTGTGTGCCACCATGCCCAGCTCATTTTTGTATTTTTAGTGGAGATGGGGTTTCACCATGTTGGCCAGAATGGTTTCGATCTCTTAACCTCATGATCCGCCCACCTCAGCTTCCCAAAGTGCTGGGATTACAGGTGTGACCCACCTTGCCCAGCCAGATGTAACACGTTCATGGTATTGCCAGATTGCCTTAATTTCTTCTTTAAAAAAGCTTTATTATAGAGAACTGTAAAGTAGTCAGATAGGTACAATGAGGACCCTGTATCTGTTGCTCAGCTTCAACAATAATTGGTTCATGATCAGTCTTATTTAGTCTTACCCATTTCTACCCTTCTGAATTATTTTGAAGTAATCCCAAATGTCATATAATTTATTCATAAATTATTTAGTATGTATCTCTAAAAGGTAGGACTTTAAAAAGTCATAACCACAGTAATATATCTAAAAAATATACTAATTCTTTTATATCATTAAATATTCAGTCACTCTTTAAATTTCAATTTTTAACAGTATATTCGTTTAAATCAGTGTCCACATAAGGTCCACATTGCAGTTGGCTGATCTAGCCTTTGTATCTTTTTATCTAACATTTCCAGTCCATACCTCTTTTCTCTTCCTCCTTTACAATGTGTTTGTTAAAGAAACCAGGTTTTGTTCTGTACTTTTCAAGTCTGTATTTTATTAATTTTATACCCATGATATAATTAATATGTTAAGTTCTCTAGTTTCTGTAAACTTGTAGTTGTATCTAGAAAATCAGTCTGTATTTTATTAATTTTATACCCATGATATAATTAATATGTTAGGTTCTCTAGTTTCTGTAAATTTGCGGTTGTATCTAGAATTCTAATTGGATTCAGTTTTATAGAGGGTGTCTGTTCTTCAGTCTGGAAATATGTAATGTCTGGTTGACTCTTTTATGAGGTTGACCACTATAGATGTTCAACTTAGATTCATTAATTTAGTTGCAAGATAGTGATAATTCAGTTTGTACTTTAATTTTTATTTATAAGCTGGATTATTTCTATAAAGCTAAATTCCTCCTCATTTACTGTTACCCAGTGGTGTAAGTCATATAGAAAAACAAAGATAAATGTTTCTTTCTATTTATTTAAAAATTTTCAAGATAACAAGTTGTTGACTAGCAATTTCCAATGGTGATCAATCATTTTCAGTCTATCACAATACTTGTTCTTATCAGTATTTAAATCATTCCAGGTTGTGAGAGACTCCTGAGTTCATTTGACACGACTTTAACTTCCTTGCAGTTACACCCTGTGTTTCAAGCACATCTTGTAAATATTCTGCCATAGAACTGGCTTGTCCTAGGAACCCTAGTTTCTAACTCCTTTGTTATTGGTGCTCACTAATCCATTGTCTTCTTAGTAGACTTCATGTATCTTAAGAGAAATGGAAGATTTGTTACCAATATTTCTTTAATGCAAAGTATAAGGCCATTGTCTAGACAAAAAGTTGGATTCACTTTTGAAGTGGTTGTAAGTATTATTTGGGAAGATTACACCTACAAATCCCATTAGGCAGTTGCCTGTGCTGAGAAGTACAGGTTCCAACATAATGATTGGCTTTCTCCAATCCAAGTAGTTTGGTAGGTGTTTAGCATTTGATGATAAAACTTCTTTCTTCTCTAAAATGCAGAAGAGAACCTCAAGCTCCCAAGGGTGCAGACAGCCAACAAGAATGCTGCTATCTATTGATACTGAATGATTAAATAATGAGATGGAAGCTAAAGGAATTTGTTCATGAGGCTTTAAAGCTTCTTATTACTATTTATCACCTGCCCATGTATTCTGTTAGGTATTGGCCTATTTTCCCATATATATAGAACCAGGAGCATATTCATGCACTTTATGTATTAAAATCAGAATTAAAATAATAGTGGCACATATGGCTGAAACTAAATCAGATAATCTCTCAATATTTTTGTTCTTTTAAAGAATAAATTATTACAGAAGATCCAATTCCCCAAACTTGTTTCCATTTATAAAGAATATATTTAGCTTTTACTTTAGTATTAGTGTTGCCTTTATTAAAAAGATGAAGAAATAAAATTTTGGGATACTAAAATGTGAATAATCTGTGAGCACAGAAACTTTGATTTGTTCATGTGTTCTAAAATATTGGAACAGTGCCTGACACAAAGGAAGTAAAGGAGTCAAATATCACTTGAATGGATGAGCTGTAATAGTTTTTGTGCTTTATTCTCACCTCAGAATCAGTGACTTTCAACTTATATTTGAAGCGGACTAAGTAGGTGGACTAAGTTCACCTGACAACTTATTCAAAAAGAAACACAACTGTGTAACTCTGTTATATTAATTAATTCATTTGTTTAACAAGCTTTGTTAGATGGGGCAGAGTAGGGGGTGATAGATACTGTCCTATATGTTGGGACACAAAGATGAAAAAGACAAACTTCCTGTCCTCAAGAGGCTATCAGTTTAATGGAAGAGACTCAAAGACAGAAGAAATACAGCAGTCTATCTGTGTGTAGATGGGCACTGTAGTATAGTGGTTAAGAGTAAGACTCTGGAGTCAGACTCTTAAGATTTGTAGCTTAGACCTGCAAGTACCACCTTGGGCAAATTACTTAAATCTCTCTTTGACTTAATTCCCTTATCTGTATTACGCTGTGGAAACATGAAGGAACCAGTTCCTTTGGGAAATTTGAGGAAAACCTTTCAAAGAAACATTTGAGTTAGGTTTTAAATTATTAAAGAGACTAAAATACTTGTTTCCCTATCTCTCCCTTTAGGTTTCAGCTTAACCATTACTTTCCTGGAGCACTTTGCCTCTCTAACCCCCCTCCTCCCCCAACTAATTTAAGTCCCCTGTTGTGTTCCTGTTTATGCCTTTTTATTACTCAGGTGCACTTACTTAATTTCTTCTTTGCCAGTCTATAAGCTCCTAGGAGGGAGGAGGGCTGACCTCTGTCTAGTTTATCAGTATTTTCCCCAGTTCCAATATAGTTTCTGATGTTTGTTAAATGAATGCATCAGTTAGACAAGAAATAAGGAAAGAAAGGCATCCCAAGCATACTACTTTACAGTTCTCTATAATAAAGCTTTTTTTAAAGGAGAAATTAAAGCAATGTGGCAATACCATGAAAGTGTTACATCTGGCCGGGCACAGTGGGGTCACACCTGTAATCCCAGCACTTTGGGAGGCTGAGGTGGGCGGATCATGAGATCAAGAGATTGAGGCCATTCTGGCCAACATGGTGAAACCCCATCTCTACTAAAAATAGAAAAATTAGCTGGGCGTGGTGGCACGTACCTGTAGTCCAAGCTACTTGGGAGGCTGAGGCAGGAGAATCGCTTGAACCAGAGAAGTGGAGGTAGCAGCGAGCCAAGATGACACCACTGCATCCCAGTCTGGTGACAGAGCGAGACTCAGTCTCAAAAAAAAAAAAGAAAGAAAGTGTTACATGCGTATATTCCTTTAGCAAGTTTTCTAGAAATTTAATCCCATTAATATGCTCATGCATATATGCAAAGACACATATACAAATACATTAATTGGCAGTAACAGGAGAAGAAACTGATCTGTGTTACCAAGCATAGGGAGTAGCATTTAGAAATACACAGTGTTTTGAAAGTTTTAGCCTAGAATAGTAGATAGAAAGGAAGAATGGAAGGCTGGAAAGGTAACTTCAGGATGAGTTTGGCTTTCCTTATTATCAACAGGAATTCATTTGGGTATTTTTAATCTTGAAGGTAAGGAACAGTCACCTTTGGAGATGAGTATGCATCCAGTGGCCAGCACTCCACTCTCAGTCTTCACCAAGGAATCTACATCCTCCAAACACAGTGACCACCATCACCATCATCACCACGAGCACAAGAAAAAGAAGAAGAAGCACAAACACAAGCACAAACACAAGCATAAGCATGACAGTAAAGAAAAGGACAAGGAGCCTTTCACTTTCTCCAGCCCTGCCAGTGGCAGGTCTATTCGTTCTCCTTCCCTTTCAGACTGAGAAAGGGACAAGGAGACCTTTCCTTCCATGTCCAGAAGAATGTATGTCACTAAGGCTTTGTCTTCTGTGAAGAATGATAAAAGAGCTGGGGAAGGATTTGCCTCTCCTACAGAAATTCTGAATCCATTTAAGTTCTAAACATTTGATTTACATTATTTATACAGTTGGGATCTAATTAGGAAAATGTGTTTTATAGTTCTGGATAAACTGTTTCATCCGCTGTTTCCTCCTCAGCACACACACACAGTGCAAACTCCTTTTCATAAAAGCCCTCATATCCACTGGCAGTCCCATTCACATCATGGTCTCCATGTGTACTGCCAAAGTCAATTATGTTCGAAAGCCTTTGGTGGATGTTATGGGGCAAAGTTATGTTTCACGCAGAAGCGACTGCCAAATCTGTGGTGCAACCACTATCTCCAGTGAAATATTATATAACACCATTTGGAACTACTGAAAAGACAGGCTTTTCTACAGGACTCTTCCTTACTGCACCATTTTTTTGTATTAACCATAGAAATTAAGCATCAGAATTTATGAACAAAGAATGTGTTATATTTTCTTTTGCTCTAAAATACTAAGATTTGGGGAAGCAATTCTTTTTTAAAAAATATTTGAATAACTATCTTTTGATAACACATTCAGTGTTTATGATGTTGGAATTTAGCCAGAACTATGAAATCCAAAACTGTTTTCAAATCAAGATGTTTAAATTTTAAGTTGTTTTGTTTTCCAGTAAGTATAAGTGAAAATGTTCATATGTAAAATATGTTTTGCTAAATGTGGACAGTTTACACACCTAATACATACTGTTTCCAAAATTATTTCTGTATAACACAAAATATGATACCTTTAAAAAGGTGAGCTTAGCCAGGTATGGTGGCTCATGCCTGTAATCCCAGCACTCTGGGAGGCCGAGGCGGGTAGATCATGAAGTCAAGAGTTCGAGACCAGCCTGGCCAACATGGTGAAACCCATCTCTACTAAGAATACAAAAATTAGCCAGGCCTGGTGGTGCATGCCTGTAATCCTAGCTACTCGGAGTCTGAGGCAGGAGAATTACTTGAACCCAGTAGGCAGAGGTTGCAATGAGCTGAGATTGCACCACTCTGCTCCAGCCTGAGAACAGAGCAAGACTCCATCTCTAAAGGAAAAAAAAGGTGAGCTTATATATTGTTTATTAACCTAGACATAGACAATTTGGCTCTTGTGAGTGTACCAGAAGCATTTAAAAACACGTATGAAATGTTTTGATTTCATCATTTGTATGGTTGTGTATTTTTATTTTTATTTCTGAATTTTCCTTGTACTTTAATATTTAAGAATTTTTTATACCTTCAATTTTTATCATTTCCCTTATCATTAGAAAGTTTGACAAAATACTTGAAAGTTGGGCCTGTAAATATACTTTTAGTTGTGTTTAACTTGTTTAGTAAAGAACTTTTTAAGTTGATCTTTCTGTCTTTGTATCTTTTTATATCTTGTGTTACCTTCTTGTGTGTGTGTATATAATAAACCTGTCCACATAGTTTGCAGAGAGCTTTGTGACTAGGTGGGATTTTAGCTGGCCTCACTAAGGGGAATAGTTTCAGTAGGCTGAGATGGGGTAAAGTTCTCTCAGCAGAAAAAACTATTTTCAAAGGTATATAGGAAAGCAAGGGTGTGTTCAGGAATTAGAAGGCTGTGCAGTTGGCACGGAGTATAAGTGCAAAGGGATATGATCAGATGCTGAAGGGCCTAAAAGACAATTATTTAAAAGTTTCAATTGAATGTTGTCCAACTGAAATTATTTTGTAAAATGGGATATTTTGTATTTGAGCATATAGTGATACCATATATAGAATTCTCAACTTTGAAAACTCTAAGCACACATTTCAAAATCATTACTTGTGTTATAGGAAGACAGTGATAAGTTAGTGACGTATTATAATTCAAGCACCTCTTGTATAGCAGGCATTGTACCAGAAACTTTATGTTATGTATATTATTTCTTAATCAGGTGTTTATATTAGATGTGGAACTTTTTTTTTATGGTGAACCCTTGATTATTTAAGCTTTTTGTTAGGAATAGACAATGCAAAAGGTATTTTATTCATATTTTTGAAACAGATTATTAAACACAGTACAGTTTCAATCGAGGTCTCCCAGTCTCCTTTCCCAGAGGCAGTCATTCTTGACAGTGTTACATGTATCTTTCCAGCGCTAGTCTATATATACATTTCCATATATTTTTATCGTATGTACAGATTTTTTAAAACAAGTAGCATATAATACAGACTTGCAGAAATTGTGTTTTATAAATTATGCTTTATCTTTTATGGCTTTTGCATTTTATGTCATAGTAACAAAGATCTTTATTCTCTGATTATAAAATAATTCTTTGACTTTTTGAATGTTCTTAAAATTTTATCTCTCACGTTTACATTCTTCATCCAACTTGAATCCATCTGCAATTTATTTTCATAAAAAATAGGGGTTCAACTTGTTTTCCCTTCTATTTAATTTTTTTTTTTTTTTGCCAGAGACAAGATCTCACCATGTTATCCAGGCTGGTCTTGAACTCCTGGCCTCAAACCATCCTCCCTACTCAACCTCCCAAAGCATTGGGATTACAGGCATGAACCACCATGCCCAACCTTGTCTCAACATATTTTTTTAAGTTCCCTTTTAATTTATTCATTGACTCATTGGTAGTTCAAGAGCATGCTGTTTAACTTGTAGAGACTTAAGAATTTTCTGAAGTTCTTGTTTTGACCTCTAGTTTCATTACTGTAGTTAGAAAAGAAACTTGATATGATTTCAAGTAGAATTTTCAGAATTTTGAAATTGACTGAAATTGATTTGAATTGACAGAAGTCAAGACGATTGCAGTCCTCTTAAATTTGCTGAAGCTTGTTTTGTGTCCTAACATGTTAGATTTTGGAGAATTGTTTATATATGCTTCAGAAGAGTGTATACTCTTTTGCTGTCAGATTGAATGTTTTGTTTATGTCTGTTAGTGTTAAAGTTCAGTGTTTTCTTATTAATACATCTGGATGAGCTGTCCATTGTTGAAAGTGGGATATTGAAGTCTCCTTCAGTATCTCTTGCAATATTGTATTACAGTCTATCTCGCCTTCAGATCCTTTAATATTTCCTTTGTATATAGTATTAAGATGCTTTGATGTTGAGTACATATATATTTACAATTGTTATACCCTCTGAATGGATTGGCCCTTTTGTCATTGTATCCTTCTTTGCCTCTTTTTTACAGTTTTTATTTTAAATTCTATATAATAATTTTTCTGATATAATTTTTAATGTCACCCTTATATGTATACTATTTGGACTATTTTTATCATCAAAGTATGGTTTTCTTAGCAATTATATATTATTCTAGAAATTTGATTGCTACTTAAAAATCAGGGCTTAAAAATACTTTTACTGGGCCGGGCACAGTGGCTCATGCCTATTATCCCAGCACTTTGGGAGGCTGAGATAAGCAGATCACAAAGTCAGGAGTTCGAGACCATCCTGACTAACATGGTGAAACCCTGTCTCTACTAAAAATACAAAAATTAGCCAGGCATGATGGCACGCACCTGTAATCCCAGCTACTCAAGAGGCTGAGGCAGGAGAATTGCTTGAACCTTGGGAGGCGGAGGTTGCAGTGACCCAAGATTGCACCACTGCCCTCCAGCCTGAGTGACAAAGTGAGACTGTGTCTCAAAAAAGTAATAATAACATTTTTACTGTTTAAAAATGATACATAATTAATGAGAACCTCCTTTGTTCATCATACTAGAATATCGTGGCTTTATAAAAGTTTCAAGCAACTGTTGTTCCATTTGCAATTTTTTTTTTTGGAGACAGAGTTTTACTCTTGTTACCCAGGCTAGATGGAGTGAATGGCGCGATCTTGGCTCACCGCAACCTCCGCCTTCTGGATTCAGGCAATTCTCCTGCCTCAGCCTCCTGAGTAGCTGGGACTACAGGCACGCGCCACCATGCCCAGCTAATTTTTTTGTATTTTTAGTAGAGATGGGGTTTCACCATGTTGACCAGGATGGTCTCGATCTCTTGACCTCGTGATTCACCTGCCTCGGCCTCCCAAAGTGCTGGGATTATAGGCGTGAGCCACCACGCCCGGCCTATTTGCAAATTCTTTAACTTACTACCTGTGTAACTTAACAACAGTAGTTGAATGCTAGTCCACTCAGCATTGTTATTGCTGAAACAAACTCGCTTCACTTGGTTTAGCTCAGTCATCTCTAAACATTTTTGGTTTTTTATTCCATTCATGTTTTTAAAAAAATGAGTGTACATATCTAATGTATGTATATTAATATGTAAGTATACATTTATTAATATAGTATGTTCATTAGAAAGTATATGTAAGTCTGAACATGGTGGGTCATGCCTGTAATTCCAGCACCTTGGGAGTCTGAGGTGGGAGAATGGCTTGATGCCAGGAGTTCATTATCAGCCTGGGCAACATAGCAAGACCCCATTTCTACAAAAAATGAAAATGAAAACAAATTAGCCAGGCATAGTGACACAAGCCTATAGTCTCAGCTACTCAGGAGACTGAGGCAGGAGGTTCACCTGCACCCAGAAGTTTGAGGTTGTACTGAGCTATGATCATGCCAGTGCATTCCATTCTGGGTGACAGCACAAGACCCAGTCTTTAAAAGATTTTCTTTTTTTCTTAAGAGAGAAACTTTCTCAAGACAGAACCTTTCTCTGTTGCCCAGGATGGAGTGTAGTGGCATGATCGCAGCTCACTGCAACCTCTACCTCCTAAGTTCAAGCAATTCTCGTACATCAGCCTCCCAAGTAACTGGGACTACAGGTGTGCACCACCACGCCCAACTAATTTTTGTATTTTTAGTAGAGACAGGGTTTTACCATGTTGGCCAGGCTGGTCTGAAACTCCTAACCTCAGTTGATCTACCCTCCTCGGCCTCCCAGAGGGCTGGGATTACAAGCATGAGTCACTGGGCCCAGCCAAAAAAAAATTTTTTTTTAAATATTTTTTATATTTGTTTAGTTATTTACTTTTCAGGCAGGGTCTTGGTTTGTCACCCAGGCTGAAGTGCATTGGCTCAGTCACACACAACTCACTGCAGCCTCAACCTTCTGGGCTCAAGCGATCCTCCTGCCTTAGCAACCCAAGTAGCTGGGACTACAAGTGCTCACCATCACACTTGGCTAATTTGTATTTTTTTGTAGAGATGGGGTTTTACCATGTTGTCCATGGTCTTGAACTCCTGAGCTGGTCTTGAACTCCTGAGCTCAAGTGATCCACCACTCTCAGAGTGCTGAGATTACAGCCTGAGCCACCACACCCAGAGAAATAATTTTTTTTTAAGTGTAAGAAAGGATAGGCTAAAAATGAAGTATTAGGTTGGTGCAAAAGTAATTGGGGTTTTTGCATTACTTTCAATGGTGGAAACCACAATTACGTTTGCACCAACCTAATAAATTATTTGTAAATGTCTTGCAGCTTGTGATAGCTTCATACTGCTGAATTTATGAAGCGTCAATGTAAACTTAGTTCACGGTTCATTAGTAACAAGAAGTTGTCAATTCATATTTCAAATTTTTTAAATAATTTTTGTTTGCTTTTCTCAAATCTGATTAGGAGGTAGAAACTTATTTATCTTGCAATATTTTAAGTACTTTTTATGCATTAATTTAATTTTAACAACAGCCATATGAGATAGGTTTTATGATTATGATAAAGAATTTGAGGCACAGGAAAGTTAAGCCCAAGGTCACACAGCTAGTATGTGATAGCATTTGGATTCAGACCCAAGGGCCTGGCTTTATTTGTGTCTCCAAGATACATGCTGTCCAGTTTGGTAGCCATTAGCCATATATGGCTATTTAAATTTAAATAATTATATTTTTGAAATAAAACCTTAGCTCCTTCTTTGCACTTATCTATATTTCCAGTGTTCAGAAACCAGATATGCCGACTGACTGTCATGCTGGATAGTGCCAATCTAGAACATTTCCAGCATCACAGTAAGTTCTACTGAATTAGGCAATTAGGTACCAGGTTTTATCTTTTAATGTGGCTTTGGAAGAGCTCATCCTATTAGATGAGCATTAATTTTTTTCAGTTGGTTATTTATGCATATATGATTGTTATTCAATCCACTGATTGTAGGAATCTTTGAAAGACAGTTGTCTATTTTGTAGTGTTTGATTAAAACTAGATGACACAGGCCAGGCATGGTGGCTCACGCCTGTAATCTGAGCACTGTGGTAGGCCGAAGCAGGTGGATCACTTGAGGTCAGGAGAGACCAGCTTGGCCAACATGGCAAAACCCATCTCTACTAAAAAATTAGCTGGGCAAGGTGGTGTGCGTCTGTAGGCCTAGCTACTTGGGAGGCTGAGGCAGGAGTATTGCTTGAACCTGGTAGGTGGAGTTTGCAGTGAGCTGAGATTGTGCCACTGCACTCCAG